CTAGAACACATTATTGTACACATATACTGTGTGTACACACATATATTGACAGACACACAAACCATCTTCACCTTTGGATATTCACCTCATAAAAAAATGTCTCAACCAGGCAAGACAAGGTTTTTGGATGTTCTATGGTAGACAGCTCTACTGCCACACATAACAATATGCAAACCTACATTGACAGATACACACAAACACCATCTTACTTCTTTGATATTCACCTTCAAAATAAGAGTCTCAACCAGGTAAAAAGAACTTACTGGATGTTCTGTTGGCCAGCTCTACCACTGCACGCACACACACACACACACACACACATACACACGCACGCACACGCCCACACACATGTATATATACATATTGACAGAAACACACAAACACCATCTCCGAAATTTGGATTAACCTTCAAATTAAAGTCTGAACATGGTAAGGGGGAATTATTGGCTCTGTTGTACAAAACCTGCAATTTATACAGACAACACAGATGCACACGCCATTTCCACAACATGGATACACTTTTGAAATAAGAGTCTCAAAAAGGTAAGAAGTAAGGTAGGTAATAAAAGTTCAATCTTGGAAGCTATCGTCTATAGTGCTATAGCTTTATTGCAGATCAACTTCTGTTCGGGCATGTACATGTGTGTATACATGTCATGTTATGGTTGTGTAGACAAATTTGGTTTTGAAACCATCAGTGTGAGGTTATTTTGGCCAGTCGTGACAGCTTCAGATGGCTTTTTCAGGGACACCTGCAGTGACTGAGGTCAGTGTCAGGATAAGTCTCAACAACATGAATGAAACTGAAAGTAGCGGCCTTTTTACAGATTGAAATATGAGGAGTGAAGTACAAGCAGCAGGCACATTCAAAATTTCTCCAGGAATTTTCTAGTTATCATTGTTGTTACAAAAAAAAACAAAAAAAACCATGAGCTGCTAATGTTAGTGTACCTGGTTAACTGACTATAGTTCTATAGCAGCTATAGTTCCTTGTGTTACCTCTTGGGTGATGGGTTAGCACATCATTAGCTAGCTACATGTCTGTAGGGTTACAGGACAAACACATCCAGGGGTTACATTCTGTTTGTGGAGTAAGCCGTTCTACAGTCAGAAGCTGCATCTCACTCTTTAGTGCAGTGGGAAGGTTTATTCAGGGGAAACGTCATATTGTAAATAACATGACGTGTTTTTAATGAGAGAGCACCCACAGTCTCACTGAGCTGTCATGTTCAGAGTATCTTAGGACTGTCCTTGTGGCGTCAGTGACTTTTACATCATCCACATATTAGACCAGTGCAGACAACATACAGGAACATCTCTGGTTACCAGGCTGCACATGTTCCGGTTGTCCACCATCTACCAGCAACACACTCCTGTTGTTAGCAGGAAAACTGAACCACTGACACACTATTTGCTGTGATAACATTACAAGATGACAGCAGTGGAGGGCAGCTGGGCCTCATCATAAGACTGAACCGTTTTCTAATCCACACCCCAGGGCCACATGGAGAGCTCATGTATCCAGATAATGTATAAATCCTCTGCAAGTATTTTCTAACATAGTCCAAAAAATACAGATATGATGGAGGACATTATATCAAATACTGATTACTTTTAGTAACAAATACGCTATTGTGGCGTGTATCAGGAACAGGCAGGAAGAGGAGTACAGGGATCTGACAATGGCCTTCAGTGAATGGAGCAACAAAAACTGCCTTCTTCTGAACACCTCCAAGACCAAGGATATGGTCATCGACTTTTGGAGGTCAAGGCCCACCCTTCAGCCAGTCAACATTGGAGGAAAGGATATTGAGGTGGTGCAAATTTATGAATACATAGGTGTGCACCTGGACAGTGAACTGGACTGGTCCCTGAACACGGATGCCATCTACCTGAAGGGGCAGAGCCTACTTACTAATGAGCTACTGGACACATGAATTTCCCCTAGGGGATAAATAAAGTATCTATCTAGCTATCTGTATATATAATAACATAAAAGATCTCTAACATCGTTATTTTTATTTGTAGAACAGTGCAGCATATCAAATTACTCAGCCCCTACTTGCCCGACTCTCTCTCTGACAAACACACTTACAATGAGACTACCAAGACAATCTCATTAACCAGGAGGTAGAGCAGTGTAACATAATATGCATAGGGCAGTCCATTCACCTTTTAGCTGTTCATTGAGTGTTCTAAGCTTAAGCAGTTTACAAAGAATAACAGGCTAATCTTAATTCAAGGTCCAAACCTCCAAGGAGTGCAGGACAGGAATCCCACTCTGATTTAAGACTAGGACAGACTAAAACCAACAGTGACCACCAGGAGCATCCAACCAAGACTCTCTTACACAACTGGACTGTCAGAACATCTAACCAAAGTCTTCAACTCACAAGTGCCAGTACTTATCACAAACCATTCAGCACCTTAATTCAGACACCCTCATTCATTTACATTCACGTTGACTCATCAGTCAGATGCTTTTATCCAAAGAGACTTACAAGTGAGGGACATCACCAAAGCTTCAGTGCAGTAGGAGACCTTGGTGTAAGAACTATGTACTACATCTATTTAATAAGTGAAGAAGATCAGGGAAAGAAGAACTTACTATGAACTTTACCTGCACTTGTTAGACCATGTTAGGGTGTTAGAGGTGTTAGGAGAAGAGATGAGTCTTTAACAGATTCTTGAAGATAGAGAGGGACACACCTGCTCTGATAAACTTTGGTAGCTTGTTCCACCATCAGGGAACTACAGACCAGAACAGTCAACCATCACTGCAGCTCTCCACTGATCTGGTCTTTATGTCAGAGAGTCCAGACGAAACCTGTCCTCAGTGACAGTTTGTAAAGAAGCAGCTAAAAGACTGAGACTGAGAAAAATCAGATTCTCTGGTCTGATGAGACCAGAACTGTTGGTCTGGTCTCAGGTGGTTCTTCTTCTTCTGGTTCTCCTTCTGGAAGTTTCTCCATTTGCACACAGGATCTCTGGTGCTTAGAGAGACCATCAAGTTCTTGGTCTCCTCTCTTCTCTCTAATGTCTCAGTTAGTGGGGGTGCAGCTCTAGAAGAGTCCTGGTTGTTCCAGACTTCTTCATGTCAGATTCCTTCTCAGGAACCTTCAGTGCAGCAGAAATGTTTTTGAGCCTAGACACAATCCTTTCTTTGAACTCTGCAGCAGCTCCTTCCTTCTTATGGTTCCTGCTCTGATCTGCATCGTCAGCTGTGAGACTTTATATAGTCTATATGTGTCTTTGCACATCATGTCCAATAAGCCGAGTTTACCACAGGTGGACTCAAATCAACGTGTAGAAACAACTCAGAGATAATCCAGAGAAATGGAGGAACCTGAGCTAAACTTACAGTCATAGTAAAGTGTCTGAATACTTATGTCAAAGTGAGATTTCAGTTTATACTTTTTAATAAAAATTGAAAAATTTATAAAATTCTGTTTTCACTTTGTCAGTTGTTGGGGACTCAGAATTGATAAGGGAAATTTTTATTGAGTTGATTTAATGAGTTTATCATGAAACTGCAACAGAACACAATGTGAAGAAAGTGACAGGGTCCGAAGACTTTCTGAATAAACTGTATCTGTATATTATACATATTTGTTCTCTTCTCTATCCATTTTAATTTTTATTGACAACTCTTAGTGTTGAACAATCTAAGAACAACCACAGAGATGGACGATGAACCATTCCTGTAACCACCTACCTTGTTCAGAGATGGCTGCACCCTAGTGGTGAAAAAGCTAAATACTATTTAGTTTTCCAGCAAAACCAGTTGAATTTGATTGAGTTTGATTGCAGAACCCTATCGTTCCCAAGGTAAAATGCAAACAAACAACACTCAACCTGTTTAGTGCTTCATCTCCACTTTAACTTCTCAGGTTACTCAGAGAAAACAGAAAACACTGTATTAACCAGGTCACTGTAAATCTATTTACATGCAGCTGGTCAGTCATAAGATTGCTCCCTTATTCCCTGACCTTATTTTGGAACCACAGTTTATTTAACTATAGTAATGCTACAAGATGCCATGTTGCGCCTGACTTTCTACCTCCACAGAGGAGGTTGTGTTTTATGTTTTCTGTCTGTTTGTCAGCAGGATCACACAAAAAGTACTGAAGCGATTTTCACTGAACTTGGTGGAGGGATGAAGCATGGCCCAGGGAAGAGGCCATTGCGTGTTGGGGGGAGCTCAGGATAATTTACTATGACTTTATATAGACAGGTGTGTGTCTTTCCACATCATGTCCAATCAGCTGAGTTTACCATAGGTGGACTCCAATCAAGGTGTAGAAACACCCTAGAGATGATCCAGAGAAATGGAGGAGCCTGAGGTAAACTTACAGTCATAGTAAAGTGTGAATACTTATGTCAATGTGAGATATCAATTTTTCCTTTTAAGTGAGTTTGAAAAAAACTTTCTAAAACTCTGTTTCCACTTTGTAATTATGGATATTTTTTAATTTTATCATAAAACTGTAACAGAACAAATTGTGTAGAAACCGAAGAGTTCTAAAGTTTGATGAATGAACTGTACATATTACAGAGCAACTTCACAGCTGAATGCAGCTGGATGTGGTTTGACTTTTCACCTTGCTGCAGAGACGTACAGGTACTCCAGGTGTACACTGTGTCATCAGTGTCGATGTGGTTACAGGTGCAACAGTCTTGACATGTTCAGGCAGAGAGCAGTGAAACTCTGCTGTTCAGTGCTGTGTGGAAACGACTATTCTCCAAAGGATTGTGGGTAAGAAATGACATAATAATGAATAATATTCATTGAGCCGCTGCCACGTGTTAGTGTGTGAATTTATTTCGAGATATGAACCGTTATTTTGCGGCCTGCTCCTGGGCCTGCTCTGATAGCACTGACTGTAAAGACCATAAACTGTGTAACACTTGTTAAGGCGGATTCAGTGTCGCGTCACTCTACTCCCGACCAATAAGCGATCTACGTGTAACACGCCGAGGGTTTACAGGTCAGGGGTTGCCAAGGAGAGAGGAAGATGGCGACTGGCAGGGAGTTGTAGGCGCCGCTGAAACAGATTTAGCAGGCAGATAGGGCTTCAGAGTAACGCACCAGTGCTGCTCATTTGACCGCCGTCCTTTAAGAGTTTATACGACAGGAATTAATACGCTAATGGCGCTGCTGTATGGCTTGTTATGGCGGTTCTTGCTGGTTGTTGTACACGTCAACAGAGCGCTCGTCTCCTGGCTCCGCGTCTGGCTTCGGAGCTGGAAGGACCGGTTGTGGGAGAGGGCGATGGCGACATTTCTGCTGCCGGTAGCCCTGGCTGGGTTCCCAGATCATCACAAGAAGTTAAATCACAACCCCGATGCTAACGCTAATCCGGTAACTGAACACCACACTGCTGGTCACCGGTCACGGTGGTTATCCGACGGCAGGTCCCTGGAGAAGCTGCCGGTCCACATCGGCCTGTTGGTGGCGGAAGAAGAGCCTAGCTACACGGACATAGCGAACTTGGTCGTCTGGTGTATGGCTGTCGGTATTTCTTATGTCAGCGTCTATGACAATCACGGTAAACACTCTAGTCTCTGTCCTCCGTGTCTCTGCTGCTACTGACTGAGGGCTCAACTCTGTGTGACTCCTCTAAATTGGTTTAGTTAAGATTAACCACTCTGCATGTTCCCTCCGAGTCGGTCAACGAGTTTAGTGGGCTGAACATTAAGGTTAGAAGATCTGGAACCAGAGGATTGCTGAGTGTTTACAAATAAATTCTGTTCTCTGTAAACTTCCTCAGTAATTCCTGCTACCGTCTACACTACACAACTGATGTTTTATCTCATTACTTCCACGCACTCATTTGTGTTTGATTAGTTTGACTTCATATGTTTGTTTGACTTTCATAACGTTTCAATACTCAAATGACCATAATTTATACAAGCTGAACATGAACACCCCTCCCCCATGTAATGCCATGTGACTGTAGAGGTTGTATTAGTTTGTTCCATTGACAGTACTGCTAATTTTCCAGTCTCTAGGGGAACAGAAATGCCAATGTAATATTATATTTGTTATGTCACAAAGATATGTCAAACTGGTCTGTAGTGTTGGTCCGGTCTTAATGTTGCTCATAGATCACAAAAATAAAGATCAAGACCAATGTTACTATGGTAACAATCTGAGCTGACCAGTAGCACCCAACAACAAAAACAGGAAAACATGGCTCATAATTTGTGTGTTGCTAACATTATTATGGAGAGAGCAATGAGAAGGGAAATAGTTTTTAGATGCCAAATCAAATTTTTCTTTTACTTTTTATCGTTTCACTCTTGGCTGAATTTCCAAAGTAAAACATCCTTGTTAACTGTTGAATTCTTCCAGAAGAGAAACTTTTCTGCTGGGGTTAACAGAGCTCAGCAGTTGGATGCGGTTCTTTTTTTTTTTTTTTACATTGAAATACTCTTAACTTACCCAGAATTCATTGTACCATAGTCTGTTTTAAGATAGTCAAGAGCTAAACTGCTTTGTGGATGAATTTAGAGGTCTGAAGTGTGGGTATTTGTTATAAATCTAAACCACAGTTAGTCTGTCTTTGTTAAACCAGCCCCAGGACACAAGTTCACATTAGGGCTCATAAAGGACAGGTAAACACCTTGATTTGAGTAGACTGGTTCATTCCTATAATAACTTGATCCCACCTGAAAAAGCTGGTTGTTATAATCTGATCAAGTGGTGCAAGTTGGTCATGTAAACCTGTTTTATATTACACACTCTTTGCACACTTTGTGCATGCCCCCATTCTCAGGGCAGCCATCTTTGAATATGTGATACTGACTAGTCCTGGAGTCTACTGCTCAGTTGTTTTACATTCTTATCAAAAGGGATAAAAGAAAAAGAATACATAAGCATAAAAAAAAAGCTCGTAGTAGATCCACGCTCTCAGCACTGGTTCATGGTTGATCCATTCTGTCATCAGATCTTGTTATTTAGCGCTTACATACTTAAGTTGTTGGTTGAATTGATTACATCAGGGAAATGTAATCAATCCAAGCTTTAGAGTCAGAGCTGAGCTTTCATCTTTCACTTCTGGCCCTGGCTGCTTTTTCCTCCAGCATCTTAGTGAAAGAAATAAAAATGTGTTTTTTAGGGTTAGGGTTAGGGTTAGGGTTTTTCTCGATTTACATTGAATAACACATCCTCACTGGTCTCTCCCCTCCAGGTATTTTTCGAAAGAACAACTCCCGTCTGCTGGAAGAGATTGTAAGGCAACAGCAGGATTTGCTTGGTGTGGATGGATCCAAATACAATGTGGAGTTCCTGAGCAACAGCAGTGACAAACACCAGCACCATGGTATGGACTTGTACTGTTATTTCAGTCATTGTGTTTCACAGTCACAGTGTAAACTGGTTAGAGTAAACTGATTTATTAAATGTAAAGGAGAAACCTGGTGTCTGTAGTCAGGGTAGGGGATTAAGGATTGACTGATTTCCATGTGCACATCTAACCAGATTTCCAATCAGCTTTTTACAAATATGTACTGTATGTGCATGGCAAAAACACACTTAAATTCACTGTTAAATGTTGTGCTGCACTGTCAGTGTGTTCTTACACAGACACACACATTAACAACAAAAAAACTAGACACTCATAAGGCGAAGACCTCAAACGTCATACTCCAGACTTCTGAGAAAACATTTCAGATTCATAGTAAATGATCCTGAGCTGAAGTGGCTTTTTCATCCCTCCACCAAGTTCAGTGCAAATCGCTTCAGTACTTTTCGTGTGATCCTGCTGACAAACAGACAGAAAACACACAACCTCCTCTGTGGATGTAGAGAGTCAGGAGCAACATGGCGTCTTGTAGCATAACTACAGTTAAATAAACTGTGGTTCCAAAATAAGGTCAGGGGATAAGGGAGCAATCTTATGACTGACCAGCTGCATGTAAATAGATTTACAGTGACCTGGTTGATACAGTATTTTATGTTTTCTCTGAGTAAACTGAGAAGTTAAAGTGGAGATGAAGCACTAAACAGGTTGAGTGTTGTTTGTTTGCATTTTACCTTGGGAAAGATAGGGTTCTGCAATCAAACCTGAAATTCAACTGGTTTTGCTGGAAAACTAAATAGTATTTAGCTTTTTCACCACTAGGGTGCAGCCATCTCTGAACAAGGTAGGTGGTTACAGGAATGGTTCATCGTCCATCTCTGTGGTTGTTCTTAGATTGTTCAACACTAAGAGTTGTCAATAAAAATTAAAATGGATAGAGAAGAGAACAAATATGTATAATATACAGATACAGTTTATTCAGAAAGTCTTCAGACCCTGTCTCTTTCTTCGCATTGTGTTCTGTTGCAGTTTCATGATAAACTCATTTAAATACATTTTTCTTATCAATTCGCCAACACTGACAAAGTATTTAATTAAACCCAGGTACATTACACAATAACTTTAATGTTAGGGCACTTATAAATATAAATCTAAAGTAATTCCATTTATCTGTAACCTTTGGTATGTTATATACTATACTGATCCAATTCAAAAGTCCAGGGGAGGATTTAACACTTCATCCCACCCTGTCACATATTATACATCCAGCCTGGTTAACATGTACATTATGTTATGTTATTAACTCTTTCTACTCTTGTTAGCAGATCTCTAGATGTTATTATCTTACAGCTCTATGATAGTCTGGACTCAAAGGATCCTTATCTTTTTTTCTTTTCTTTTTTTTTACTATCGGTGATATCAATGCCTCCCTACTTGAGTTTGTAAATCTTTCATTACTTTTACTTAATGATATAGTTCAGTAAAGACTGGGGTCATTAAAGTTTTATATATATATTTTCCTGGTTTGCCATCCACTCCTGGAGATTTACCATGTGTAAGGTGTAAAGTCATCTCTTCAACCTGATATCACAGCATCAAAACCAAAGCCCAAATTACTGAAGAAACTGTTACATTGAGCCACTTATACCCCGTCATCTGTTTGATACAGCTTCTTATGAAAATCAAACAAGACTGTTTTCCTCATTCCTATTCAAAGGAATATGTCTTGATCCATCTTGTTTTCTACGCTGTCTTGCCTGTAATTTATCTCTGTCCTCATTAAATGTGCTTTTCATTCTAAATAATGTATATTCCACCTACATTATTATAAAATTTTGTGTAATAAGACTTCACTGTTTAGACTCTTAGTGAGAGCTGTGAACTGGTTTAACAACCATCTATCCATAAGAACTTGGTGTGTATCAGTAGAAAACTGTACCTCCACCTCACTTAGTTAATTAAGCTCACATATTTATTTTAATAATTTTGTTTTTACTTTAATCAATAACTGAAATGATTTTAATTAGTATTGTTCTGTGTCATCAGTTTGACCACTGAATTTTTCACCTGTAGCCACTGTGAACAGTCTCCATTCTGCTGTTTTGATATTTGAAAATAGAAAATGTGATTTTATTTCTCAGAGAAGAGCGAGTTGATGCCACTGAGTCTTAATGGTCCTTATAGTCTAAAAGTAGATGTCCATGTGTTGTTTGATCATAAAGCAGGTTTAGGTTCTACATTAATACTGTGAAAGTATCAAAGCCCTCAGTCCACAGAGAAATGCACACAGCTTAATAAAACAGTGGAGAAGATGAAAATATGGAGCTTTAAGGACACATTTGTCATATTTATTCTAAACCACACAAGAAAGTGTAAATAACAGATAAATGCCCTGACCCAGATGTTACCAGATTACTCCAATCCACTTTCAATGTCAGTTTGTCTGTAGAGCTGCAGGGTTAGTGACAGTCATTCTCACAGTAAACATGTTTCTCCAGATCGATGTGAAGGTACGTCACACTCAGCTGTTGAGTCGTGGTCAGTTGAAGGTAACCATGTTTTGTGTGTCTGTCAGTGGTGTCCTGCAGGCCCACAGTGAAGGTGCTGTCTCCTGAGGATGGGAAGCAGAGCATCGTCCAGGCAGCACAGCAGCTCTGTCGCTCAGTGGAGAACAAAGAGAGGCGCTCCAAAGACATCAGTGTCTCCATGCTGGACATACTACTCAGAGGTACACTGCAGTGTGTGTGTGTGTCAGTTTTATATTTTCAACACATTCTTCATATCAAAGCAGTGCAGCAGTTAGGTGCAGGAAACAGAAACAGACTAGACTTGAAGACTTGCAGGTTATAAATGATATCACCAGTTGTTTAGATCGTAAACAGCACTGTATGGCTCTCTGTTGGTTTGCGTAAAGCATTCAGCTCTTCACTGTTTAGACTCTTAGTGAAACAGCTGTGAACTATTTTTTCTTTTTATAAATGACTTGGGTTGGGGTATAAATCCAGCTAAGATCTGTTTTTATACTGATGGCACATGTATTTCTACAGTAGCAGCTTCTTTGAATCAAGCCATGCAACTCTTGAAGGGATGTTTTTTTTTTTTTACAACTGCAGCTCTCACTGGTTAAAGTGAAACTGGTCCTAAGTCCTAATAAAACTGAATGTATGACCTTCAGAAACAGCTGATCCCACAGTCCTGGGAATACATACCTGGGATTATGGCTTGAAGAGTTGATGTTTAATGTGCACATTGATCATTGATCGAAAAAGCTCTGTCTCTGCTGTCTGATTGAAGGCTCAGAGAACATTATACTCATTCACATCAGTATCAGATCATGGTGATGTGAACTAGAAGCAATTTTAGTATCACTAATTAAAAAACTCTATCCGCTGCTTTACATTTGGTAATGAACGCAGGCTCATGCGCTCACCAATGTATTTTATATGATATCATTATGGTCCTCCCTGTACCAGAGGAAAGAAATAAAACACCAACCTTTCATCCTTTCATACCAGATACTATAGGAGTATATGTGCTGATCAGCATTTTAAACCTCTTGACCTGGACTGGCTGGAAGGAACCGTCTTCAATAAATAAAGATTTGAAGTGGAATAAACTCGAGGTCATTGATGGCATGACTGGAAACCGTTACATGGCCAGTTCACAGCTGAATTGATGATTTTCAGTCTTTATCTGCAGCTTACAGCAGAGGACAGAGGGGATGGTGTTCATTCAGTAGACATACATAGAGCTGATGTCAGCCAGGTTCAGATGTCATCCATTATTATCTCAGTGAACCTAAATTATCTCTACACAGTGTGAGACATTATTCCGACAATCACCTGTCACACAGTAGGTAGAACAACACGTGGTATGTTTCTTCAATAATAACTAGTTAAATCATGTTAATTAAAGATAAGGTGGTGTGTAGTTGAACATTATGTTCACTCAGTGAGTAGAGCAGTAACATTTATCAGCCCACCCCAGTATCAGTGTGACTGTAGAGGTCTACAGTGTGGACCTGGGGGTGGATGTGGCTCAGGAGGTAAAGCTGGTCATCCACTAATCTGAAGGTCGGTGGTTTGATTCCACAGTGTCCTTGGGCAAGATACTGACACATGAACATGTAGTAGGTCCAGGTATTGTTGCAAATCGTCATCATCGTCATCATCGAGAGCATCATCATCGAGAAATATATATATGGCCAAAAATATTGGCGCCCCTGCACTTCTTTCAGATAATACACCATTTTTCCCAGAAAGTTGTTGCAATTAAAAATGCTTTGGTATTCAAATGTTTATTTCTTTTGTTTGCATTGGAACAACACAAAAAAGCAGAGAAAAAAAGCAAAAATCTGATATCATTCCACACAGAACTCCAAAAATGGACTGGACAAAATTATTGGCACCTTCAACTTAATATTTGGTAGCACACCCTTTGGAAAAAATAACTGAAATCAATCGCTTCCTGTAACCACGGATGAGTTTATTACACCTCTCTACTGGAATTTTGGACCACTCTTCTTTTGCCAACTGCTCCAGGTTTCTCAGATTTGAAGGGTGCCTTCTCCCAACTGCTGTTTTGAGATCTCTCCACAGGTGTTCTACGGGATTTAGATCTGGACTCATTGCTGGCCACTTCAGAACTCTCTAGCGCTTTGTCTTAAACCATTTCTGGGTGCTTTTTGATGTATGCTTTTGGTCATTGTCCTGCTGGAAGACCCATGACCTCTGATGGAGACCCAGCTTTCTGACACTGGGCCCTACATTGCGCTCCAAAATTCTTTGGTAGATTTCATGATGCCACGCACACAGTCAAGGCATCCAGTGTCAGAAGCAGCAAAGCAACTCCAAAACATCTGTGAACCTCCACCATGTTTGACCGTAGGGACCGTGTTCTTTTCTTAGAAGATCTCATTTCGTTGTCTGTGAACAGAACAATGATGTGCTTTACCAAAAAGCTCTATTTTGGTCTCATTTGTCCATAGGACGTTCTCCCAGAAGGATTTTGGCTTCCTCAGATATGTTTTGGCAAACTCCAGTCTGGCTTTTTTATGTCTCTTTGTCAGCAGTTGGGTTCTCCTGGGTCTCCTACCATAGCGTCCCGTTTCATTCAGATGGTGACGGATAGTGCGAGCTGACACTGTTGTACCTTGTGTCTGCAGGTCAGCTTGAATTTGTTTGGAAGATGATCGAGGTTCACCATGTAAACTTCTTGATGACGTTGCACACAGTGGACACAGGAACATTAAACTCTCTGGAAATGGACTTGTAGCCTTGAGATTGTCCATGCTTTTCCAAAATTTCAGTTCTCAAATCCTCAGACAATTCTTTGCTCTTCTTTCTTTTCTCCATGCTCAGTGTGGTACACACAGACACACAACACAAAGGTTGAGTCAGCTTTCCTCCATTTAAACTGGTTGCGAGTGTGATTTCTATATTGTCAGCACCTGTTACTTGCCGCAGGCTAGTTTAAATACAAATTAAAGGAGCATCACATGCTTGAAATCCTATTATTTCTTACAATTTTGAAAAGGTGCCAATAATTTTGTCCAGTTCATTTTTGGAGTTCTGTGTGGAATGATATCAGATGTGGCTTTGTGTTGTTCCAATGCAAACAAAAGAAATAAACATGTCAATACCAAAGCATTTTTAATTGTAACAATTTTCTGGCAGAAATGGTGCATTATCTGAGAGAAGTGCATGGGTGCCAATACTTTTGGCCATGACTGTATATTTGTTTCATTGTGTTTCACAAAGACGGTAAAGCCCTGTTGCCTCACGCATAAAACAGTGATGCCAGTCTCTTCAACACAGTGAGTTCTTCAGGTGATTAAACACAGGTACCAGTCCAGGTATCAGTCCATCAGAACACAGTCAGGTCTTCACTGGTGGACTCTCTGGCCTGTGTACGACTTCCTGAATCCTGCTGTAATTTTCTTTATCTGCACTCATCTGACCCTCATCACCATGTCATTATGAGGTCTGAAACTGTTGAGCTGCTGCAGAGTTGATTTGGATGAATGAGTGCTGATGACTCACTGCCTGTCTGTGCTTCTTTCAGAGTCAAAGAATATCCCCGACCCTGAGCTGGTGCTGAAGTTTGGTCCTGTGAACAGCACGCTGGGCTTCCTCCCCTGGCACATCAGACTCACTGAGTTCATGTGAGTCAGAGTCTCTCTCTGTTTCAGTCAGATAAATGTGAGATTCTGTTTACATCAGCAACTCACTCAGACTCACTTAGTCCAGCATGAACAGCAGATGTCGCTGTTGAGCTGTCAGTGCAGGTGTGTTTCTCTCAGGATTGGTCAGTTGTGTCTGAGCTGTGTGTCCTGCTCTGTGTCCTCAGCTCCCTGCCGTCCCACAGAAACGTGTCCTATGAGGACATGCTGGGCGCCCTGCAACGGTATGGCGTCTGTCAGCAGCGGCTCGGCCAGTGACGTTCAGGCCAGCTTCAGGTTCTTCAGATGAGAAGAAATGTGGGCTCCACACAGTCAGGGGAGAGTCTGGACAAGTGGTGCCCCCCCTGCACCTCACTGTGTTCCTCACTGCTCCTCTCCCCAGCTCTGTCTGTCTCCTGGATCTCCACCAGACTAAGACAGCTCAAAGATGAGGGAACCAGGAGAGCCAGCTCACTTCCTGCCACCAGCTCTTGTCTTATAATTAACTGACATTCCACAGGACTAGTGGAACATGCTTTCCAAGCCAAGAGAAAATGGGACATCAGAGACACACTGGCATGAGAAGACTGTCTACATAGACTCAGTGTTCCATAAACCCTGTTCTGTCCTCTCAAAGCCTCTGGCTCTCTCTTTGTCTTTCAGTGTCCAGCTGCTGTTTACTGCTGAACACTTGCCTTCACTCAGCAGACAACAAAGAAGAAACAAGGCTTTGTGCCTGTCCTCGTGAGGCATCCTGGGAAATATAGCTGCATTTTAGGGAGAAGCTCAACCTCCAAGTCCACGTCAGCTGAGCAGCGGAGGCTGAGCTGAGGGACAGGCTGGTCAATATGTGTAAATATGAGAAATCCATCTGGCTCTGTGTTTGTCCCTGTGGCCTCCAGCTTGCAGTCGTGTGTTCATGTGTAGTGTTGCTTCAGACACGTCCAGAGGTTTGTTTAAGGCTCCTGTTGGACTGACAAAGCTCTGAAATAAAGACCAGCTCTGTCTGTCTGTCTGTCTGTCTGTCTGCGTGCGTGCGTGCGTGTGTGTGTATGTCACAGGAAAGTCTCACCTTAGTGTAAAGGACAAAATCATCTCAACTCCCCCTAATGTTTACTAACTGAGTTATCCGCTGTCACCTTGACTATCACTATCTACATCCACTGATGATCTACAGAAAGGTAGTAAGTGGACCTTGAATTTGATTAAAGTTTCACTCCTCTGCTTGAGTCTTATTCTCACAGAGTAGACATTTCTGTCAGTAATATACACTGCTCAAAAAAATAAAGGGAACACTTAATCATCACACTATAACACCAAGTCAATTAAACTTCAAGGATATCAATCTATCCATTTAGGAAGAACAAGTGATTGTGAATCAGTTTCAGCTGCTTTGGTGCAAATGAAAGTGACAACAGGTGCAATGGAGAAGCAACAGCAAGACAACCCCCAAAAAGGGAATGGTTTTATGTGGTGGCCACAGCCAGTTGCTCTCTCCTGATCCTTCCTGACTGATTCTTCTCTAGTTCTGTGTTTTGCTGGTGTCCTTGTTACTACTGGTAGCATGAGGCGGTACCTGCAGCTCAATCAGGTTGCACAGGTATTCCAGCTCCTCCAGGATGGCACATCCATACGTGCGGTTGCAAGAAGGTTTGCTGTGTCTCCCAGCACAGTCTCAAGAGCATGGAGGAGATACCAGGAGACCGGCTGTTACACGAGGAGAGCTGGACAGGGATGTAGAAGGGCATCAACCCAGCAGCAGGACCGGTACCTGCTCCTTTGCGAAGAGGAACAGGAGGAGCACTGCCAGAGCCCTACAACATGACCTCCAGCAGGCTACTGGTGTGCGTGTTTCTGACCAAACTGTCAGAAACAGACTCCATGACAGTGGCATGAGGGCCCCACGTCCTCTAGTGGGACCTGTGCTCACAGCCCAGCACCCTGCAGCTCGATTGGCCTTTGCCAGAGAACACCAGAATTGGCAGTTCAGCCACTGGCACCCTGTTCTCTTCACAGATGAGAGCAGGTTCACACTGAGCACATGTGACAATGGTCTGGAGATGCCGTGGTGAACATTATGCTGCCTGTAACATCATCCAGCATGACCAGTTTGGCGGTGGGTCAATGATGGTCTGGGGAGGCATATCCTTGGAGGGTCGCACAGACCTCCATGTCAGAGCCAGCAATACCCTGACTGCTGTTAGGTACCGGGATGAAATCCTCAGAGTGATTGTCAGACCTCACACTGGTGCAGTGGCCCTGGGTTCCTCCTGGTGCAGGACAATGCCCGGCCTCATGTGGCCAGAGTGTGTAGGCAGTTCCATGATGACAGGCATTGATGCCATTGACTGGCCCTCACGTTCCCCTGACCTAAATCCAATTGAGCACCTATGGGACGTTATGTATCGGTGCATCCAACGCTGCCAAGTACTGCCACAGACCGTCCAGGAGCTCACTGATGCCCTGATCCAGACCTGGGAGGAGATCCCTCAGGACACCATCCGCCGACTCATCAGGAGCATGCCCAGATGTTGTTGGGAGTGTAAACAGGCAAGCGGGGGCCTTACAAACTATGTATCACATTATGAGTTGTTGTGATGAAATTCACGCAAGTTGAATCAGCCTGTGATTTCAATTTTTTACTTTGATTTTTGGTGTGATTGTGAATCCAGCCCTCAATGGGTTTATTCCAATGACTGTTGTTACATGATTTTGTTCTCAACAAATAATACAATGTACATGAGTAAAGATTTTCAACTTGAATAATTCCTTCATCAAGATCTGATATATGATTTAAGTGTTCCCTTACTTTTTTTGAGCAGTGTATTTGCACAAAGGAACCAGTAAATGAGATGTGGGAACACTGAGAGGAAGCAGGAGTGGTCAACTGATCATCAGATCAGACAGGTGAATGTAAACACCCAGCACAGTTTAAACACTTTTCCCGCTTCTGCTTTGACCTACTGACTCAATCCACACAATGTTGTTGTCACTGGTAGAGACGATCGTCAAACTGACAGTAAGAGCCAAGTTTACTTTTTCATTTATTTGAATTTGAAAAAGTACAAACAATCAGACATACCAGTTTTTAAAATAAAACATGAATAAAAATTCCAACAAAGAATGATGAAAAATAATAATAGCTAAAAAAGTGACAGACTTCTTCAAAAAATATATTTACTGCTGACATGCACTTCTTGTTTGTTCCTTGGCCCTAATGACACAGATGAGAGCTGGGTCCTGCCCAGGGGAAAAGCCATAGCTGACAGTTTGACATTTAGAAAACATGAGTTTCAGTTTTCACTGTAACAGAGCATCAGTCACATCAGTTCTTCAACAAATATACAGTGAAACATAAAGAGGTCAGTCACATGAAAAACACAGGGAAACAAGTATGTCGTCTGGATCAGTGTAGCACAACACAAACTGATGAGGAGTCAGATCCTTGTCCTCATTCAAGTCTGGTTCCCTGCTGTTGGTACTGGCTAATATAAAGCCCACTGATGTGGTGACATGACACTGAGGTTCCTCTGCTGTGGTAATCAAAGGTGTCTGTAATTATATGAAGGTATTTTTGGTGCAAAACAACTGAGCGCCTGTGACAGTGGAATTAGTAGTTGTATAAAATAGTCACACATGTATCAGTAAATTTGAATTCACAGAGAAAAGATGGTCTGCACACATGGAGTTGCACACCTGTAGATTTTTTTCGCTCCCACAAACAACTCAACAGTTACACCTTCTCAAATTCTTCATTGCAAGTGCACAAAACCTGTTTTACAACTCACAAATTAAGAAACTCATACACACATTTTTGCTACAGTTGCTGAAGTGAATGTGTTGCAAAACACATTGCAAAACACATTCACACACCCCTATCAAATAATGTGAAGTCATGGACAACATTTGCACACCTGCATATCAGAATGTGAATTCATGCATTGAGAGTTGCACATCTGTAAAATATTTTCTCGCAAATACTTTTTTTTCTTGGATATTTTATTGCACAAACACAAGTCAAAATGTGTTGTTTGTGGGAGAGAAAAAAAATCTACAAGTGTGCAACTCCTAGAGCATTTTTTCTCTGTGACCTCAAATTTACTCATACACATGTGTGACTATTTTATACAACTACTAATTCCACTGTCACAGGTGCTCAGTTGTTTTGCAACAAAAACACCTTCATATATCATCATCATGGTGACACAGCTGTTGCAGCATAGACGTAGAATAAAATACGTTATCAGTGTGGCTCTGAGATCATATATCTTTATTCTTTATTGAACTTTATTCTTCATCTCAAAACAACATCTTGACTCAAGGTGCACCTTATATATTTTCCTCTGTGCATGGTGGACTGAGTTTTCCTCTGCTGTTATTGTGTGACTTCATGTTAAAACAGCTAAGCTGAGGAAGACCTTCAGCCTCTGGTTGTGTGAAGGTTACAGTTGTAACATGTATCTGTCAGGGATAAAAACACCAAAACGTCTCAACTCATGTTCAACAGAATATGCTTCTGCTATGTGGAGATGATGCTGTAATTCAACAGTTACCACCAGGGTAAAAACTGGGGTAAAAACTAAATACAACCATTTTTCTTTTCCTTTTTGTTTTGTTATCCTGAGAAAATAAAGATTGACAGGAAACAACCACAGCTGCTCTTGGCTTCTTTTAATGTGGAGAAAAGAAATGTTAAAGAAATAAGAGAGAGCTGTGGAGTTTGTTTTCTTCATCATTGTGGCTTGTTTATAGATGTTTTCACAGTGATAAACAGGAAGTGGAGGGTGGGGCTGTGGCTCAGTAGGTAGAGGGTCGTCCACTAATCAGAATATCTGTGGTTCCATCCACACCTCCTCCCCCTCCAGTCTGCGTGTGTCCTTGTCAAAATACTGATGGCTGTTATATCACAATAGCAGTTGAGCAATGGTTCTCAGAGTGGGATCTGGGTCCTTGAGCAAAGCAAAGCAAAAAAGAGAATCATTTATTTTCTCTATAATTTCATCCATAAATAACACAATGACAGAATGTGTGACAAAACACCTGTAATAAAACATCTAAAACCAAAAATCTTCTCAGATGGAGGTCAGTTTAGGATCCTTTAGAAAACATTAGAGAACCACTGCTATAGAAGTGCCACCAGGTATATAAACTCTCCTGGCATCACACATCGATGACCTGATGATTGTGCTGCTGTCGGTCGTTCCCTCCTCCACTCTCTGTCTGGATCTGGTCTTTTTGTTTCTGTGATCCAGACTCCCCCACACCTCCACTCTGTTACATCTCTGATCACCAGCCAGCGGCACCTCTACATCACTTTACAGTGCAGCTCTGTGAAGTGGCTCATGATGGTGATAAATCACAGTGTTGATGGTTAGTGTCTGGCAGTTGGTTGAGCCTCTGTGTGTGTGTGGCAGGTCTGGGTAAGAGCTGTGATGCACATAGAGCTGACTGGTGGGTCATTGTGTTCACCTACTAAATGTTACTGACAGTGGCATGATACAAGCTGTGAACTCCTCTGTTAAGTTACTTTGACCAGCTGGTTTCAACCTGCGGATGTGAGGGTCCTGAGCTGGTCTAAAGACTCACAGACGATTGAAGACAATGTCAACATGTCAGTTTCCTCCCACTAACTCTTGTGTCTTCTTTTGGATCCTTTGGCCATTCCTGTCCTCTAGAAATCCTTCACATCCTAGGGCTATTGGCTGATGAGTTACACATAAATAAATTGTAAATATTCTGAATTAAATGTAACTCCAGTTGAATAAATACATGTTATTAATAAATACACAAATCAATCATTTTGGAGGAAAACGTCATGGGTGGGGCCTGGGAGGAAGTTTGACTCGTATAAAAGATCAAATCGATCAGATCTGGGCGAAAGGACGCCACCTTGTGGTGAATCCAGCATCTACATATCAAACACAGGACGTGGATCTGAATCCCGTAGTTTCTGATCAGGGAGCAGCGTCCGAGCAGCGGGTCTGATCCGCCTCCACCGCCCCCTGAGCTGCAACGCTGTCTGCAGCACGGACCCCGTGCACGCTGCGTCTCTGCCGCCGGCTGAGGTGAGCTGCCCCCCCGTCCCCTCCTATTCCTCCGGTGCTTCTCGGAGCAAAATGCGCTGATCCCCGCTGCGTCGGAGGCAGGATGATTTCTGTCGTCTCCACTGTGGAGAGCGCTCCCATAGGAACGGGCACACCGGCGCCGAGCCTCTACCAGCGGATCAGGAAGGTGTTAACCAGGTAAGAGGAGGCTGAGCAGCCCTTTACATTCCCTTCACGCTCAGTGAGGTGAGCAGCAGCTCGTCGCTGCGGAAGGGGGGCTGCTTTTCCTTTTGTTTCATACACAACCTGTAACATCAGAGCTGCTGCTGCAGGAGGCATGTTGTGCAACAGATGTCAACAAAACAACCACACAACATCACCCCTGCATGAACATCGCGTCATGTATGTCTGCTGAAGTGGGGGCATTCCTGCACCCTGTGGTACCAGAGCGGAGTCCGGTCCTGGCGGCGCAGAAGGAGGAGGAGGCTGCCACGGAGGGTTCACCAGCTAGCTCAGGCTGTGCTGCAGAATGGCTTTTGTCCTGTCCCCATCCACCTGCCTCTTTCTCACTGTGTCCTGCATACTCCCTTTGTGTTTTTCATGCTCTCAGACACAAACACACACACACACACACACACACACCTACACACAGACCACACTTAGTCCCCTACCCTTTCCTGCCATCTGCTGTTCCTTCATCCCTGGTCGCTCTTGTTTATCCTTGGGCTGTTGGACTGGCTGCCTGGCTGCAAGCTAAATTTGAGACCAGCATATCAGGCTCATGTCAGCGTGCACGCAGTTTATATGTATGTGTGTGTGTGTATGTATGTGTGTGTGTGTGTGTGTGTGTGTGTGTGTGTGTGTGTGTGTGTGTGTTTGTTTGTGTGCAGATGCACAAACACAAACAAGGCTACACATCAGACAAGTGTAACCAGTGTCAGTTTACTGGCTGATATTGGTTTCCTTTTTTATAAGGATACCTTAGCTTGGTTATTAAAAACCAAGGCTTACACAGCATGACATTTTGTCTGTCCAGTTGCCTAATAATGCTCATGTGTAGTCAGTGTCCACCTTGTTGAGCCTGTGTTTCTATAGGACAAAAAGTGGACAGTGGGAGGATGGAAAGAAACAACATCAACCTGTTGTTTCGAATCAGATGTAATCCAGTGGCCTCCACAGGCAGCAAAGCACCTTCAGGCAGTGGTGGAGATGTCATGTCAGCAGAGACAACAAACATCTTACCAATGTTACCAGCAAGGAGATGGATTTATTTCAAGAACATACTGGAGGGTCTTACCTACCTAATAAAATGACCATTGTAATCTTAAACACATCTTAAGCATGGAGGAAACTTCGCACATCTATTCAGTCAGGCAGGTGCGTAGGAGCAGGTTTTTTTACGTGACATACAAAGAAAACCCGCACACTGTCTGACTAGCAGCAAACAATTTAATAGCGAAGTTTTGGTCATAGACTTTCATCAGGCAAATGGTTCTCCGACATGGAGCCATCTTAAATAGGACTGACTGAATTGGCAGCCAATCGTCTAATCCTTCGTGAGGTGGAAGATAAATTCAAAAAGTGAGTAAATGATTATAGCGGCAATTTGCTGGTTCTAACAGTTCTGCGCTCAACCGAGAGAAGCAGACAATTTTAGCTAATTAATGCTTTGGCAGGCCTACTTTTAAGTGGGTAATGAGTTATGGCCAATATTAGCTAAGCTCCGCCCTTCGAAAATACATTACGGCCATGTTTTTCCACCAATCTCACTCATTTGTAACAGAGATGTGCCTCTCAGTCACCGGAGGCAGTGTACCAAATTTGGTATTGATAAAGTAAAAATCCGTAAAGCTTAGTTCATTTTACTGTTTTGAATGTTATGCCAATTAGCTCAAAATCCATAATGGTAGTTCTATTATCATAGAGGCTTTTTGTTGAGAATATTGACCTGTAGCTGAGAGGTACATTTTTTACACATTTGAATAGGATGGGACTCTCGGTGTGGCGGGGGCAGCCATTCAAATTTTTTACAATTTTGACTCTTAACTTTAGCGCCACGATATGGCCGAATGGAATAATATTTTTTGTGAAGCATTTATACACTATTTGGAGTTATGATACTAATTTTTGTGTGTCTGGCTCGCACGTGTTAATGAATAGGCCCCACCCACTTTCATCAATCAATATGGCACGTCAGATTTTCATTAATACTTGCCTCCAAAACATGTCTACCAATTTTGGTGAAAATCTGTTCACTAGATTTTGAGATATGTATTTTTATTATGCCCCCTAGAGGTCAGGCTCAAAATGCTTTGGTAAGCCTACTCCCTGTCCTGTCCCAAAGATATCGACCAAGTGTCATGATGATCGGACATATGGTTAATGAGTTATGGCCAATATTAGCTAAGCCCTGCCCTTTGCAAAGATATTTTGGTTGATGTGTTGTGTACGATCTTGCTCATCTATAATAGAAATTTGTTTATTTATATCCCAAGGTGCTCTACCAAATTTGGTGTTTCTATTCTCAAAATTCATAAAGTTCTATTCATTTTACTGTTTTTCAAATTATGCAAATTAGCAATAAATCTATTCAGGCGCCCCCTAATTGTTCAAGAGGCTTTTTTGTAGAGCACATTGAGCTGGACATGTATGTCAAATTTCAAGTCAATCAGACAAATGGTGTGAATGCACTCATACTTCCTGGGCCAGTAGCACACATCATTTCGAGTGATGTGGTCAAGTTTCGTGTTTCTCGCTCATTCCAGCTCATGGCAATTTGAGCTGAGGAAGAAGATGAATAATAATAATAATAATAATAAACCTGAGCCCTAATGACAGTAACTGTAAGTCTGGCATCTCATGGTGGTTAAGCTCAAACCCAGGATTATTAGCCTGCAACTGTAGAGCACTAAAGTAGACTGAACAGAAATGATCAATACACCTCCTTGGCAGAGGTCTACTGAGCGCATTTTCTAGTTTTCTATTTAGTCAAATTGATTTAAAAATGACAATTAATGAGAACAGGCTCTCTCAAAAATTATATAATGTATAATGAAATCCCAAAGCTGTACACTGAGACCAGGAATGTTATTCAGGCACAACTCACACGCCAGCCTTTCTGCGCTTCTACCACTGACATCTGGACAAGCAGGGCAGTTGATGCATACATGGCAGTCACAATCCAGTATATAACTGAATCCTGGGAAACACAGACCTGGTGTTTGGGATGTTCAGCTTTATGTTCAGATCATACATAAGACAGTCTCCATGAAGCCCTGAGGGCTATGTTGTCCAAGAAATGGGGACTGGACCTGTCAAAAACAGCCAGGATAACCACTGACAATGTCTCTTACAACAAAAAGGCATTTGAGAGCTACACTTGGATACCATGTTTTTGCCATAACCTTCATCTGGCTGTAGGCAAGACTGTAGGCCTGGACCATGTCTCAGCATGCTTGTTAAGGCTCCGGACAACCTTGTCTGCCTTTTCCAGGTTAAACAAAATGATGAGGAGCTTGAAGGAGAAATAGAAGACCTTGAAGCTGCCTGAGCAAAAGCTCATTCACGATGAGCCTACATGCTGGAAATCCACCTTTGAGATGGTGGACAGATTTCACTTCACTTCAAGATATGAAAGCAGACTGCTGGACACTGTCTAAACACTGCAACACAACTTTTGTCACCGTGGAGGAAGAGGTAAAGGCAATACTTTTTCAGAAATTGGGTGAAACTCCACTAAAGGCAAAGAGGCAGTTCTAAGAAGCAGAGCAGCAGCAACAGGAAGATCATGGGGGGGCAAAAATAAGAAAAGCCGACTTCAAAATTATGTTGTCCACCATCAAGAAAAGATGGCGGAGTCAGGAGAGACAGGTGGGGCTGGGGGTAGGGCAGTTCATTCCACATCCCCTGCTGAACAACTAACAAGTGAATTCTTGTTGTACAAACAAACGAAAGAGATAAGCACTTCTGAAGATCCACTCAACTGGTGGAAGAACCACGTAGCCACCCTGCCAACTCTTGCACATTTTGCCAGACAATACCTGTGCATTTCCAACCACAAGCTGTGCTTCAGAAGTCCTAGACGCATTATGAGAACATTGACACGCTTGTTTTCCTGGCTGAGAATCTTGAAGTGGCCAAAAAACGGTCCAGAAAATAAGACAGAGAGTAATAAGTAAGAAGTAAGAATAATATAGAAAAAAGAGAAACATGTCAATGTTCTGTGACAAAATCTTTCTATTGTGAACCAATCTTTATTTATTTTTTAAAGGTGTAATATGCCTATAAAAATATGAAGGCAAGAGGATACTGCATGACACATGCAATTTATACTGCCAAACACAGAAGGACAGACATTTACAGACACACACCATCTCCAAAACATGGATACACTTTCAAAATAAGAGTCTCAAAAAGGTAAGAGCTAAGGTAGGCAACAATAGTTTGATCTTAGAAGCTATGCACTATATGGGGATATAGTGCTATAGCTTTATTGCAGATCAACTTCTGTAAGTGCATGTACATGTGTGTATACATGTCTTGCTATGATTGTGGGGACAAATTTGGTTTTGAAACCATCAGTGTGAGGTTATTTTGGAAAGTCGTGACAGCTTCAATAGGCTTTTTGAGGGACACCTGCAGTGACTGAGGTCAGTGTCAGGATAAGTCTCTATGACATGAATGAAACTGAAAGTAATGTCCTTCGTGCAGATTGAAACGTGAGGAGTGAAGTACACGTACCAAACACATTGGTACATTCAAAATTTCACATTCAAAATTTCTCCAGGAATTTTCTAGTTTTACTATTTGTTGTTCTGTTGCTGATGTCATGTAGGTGGTTGTGCCGTCATCTTCTTTACATAAATGTAAATGTAGTATCCACTAATATAACTGCTGTGGTGTCCAGTGCTCTGTGTTGTGGTACAGATCTCAAACAGAGCTCATCAGTTGGACACGAAACTTAAAGCTGATGTTATCAGTGTTGTGTTCACACAAAGAATTTGTGATTGTAGGTATAAGTGTGATGTCCATCCATCCATTATCCATACTGCTTATCCTTATGGGATTGTGGGGGGGCTGGAGCCAATCCCAGCTGACATTGGGCAAGGGTGGGATACATCCTGTACAGGTTGCCAGTCTATCACAGGGCTGACAAACAACCAGTCACAATCACTTTCACACCTACGGGCACTTTGGAATCACCAATTAATCTAAACCTGCATGTCTTTGACTGTGGGAGGAAGCCGCAGAACCAGGAGAGAACCCATGCAGACCCAGGGAGAACATTTAATCTCCACATAGAAAAGCCCCAGGCCCAGGGTCTGAAACCAGAACCTCCTTGCTGTGAGGCAACAATGCTACCCACTGCACCTATAAATGTGATGTGTTTGTGTTTATTTGTCACATGACTAACACAAACATGTATCGAGCTGCTGTTATGTTGTCTGATGATCATGATTTGAAATCATACGTAATAAAACACTGATGAGCTTCTGTCCACGTCTCTGTCCTCTGCAGGGACCTGCTAGTGACCCTGGCCCTGGGCCAGGTTCTGTCCTTGTTAATCTGTGCTATTGGTCTGACCAGCAAGTACCTGGCTGATGACTTCCACGCTAACACACCGGTGTTCCAGAGCTTTCTCAACTACATCCTGCTGTTTCTGGTCTATACCACCACACTGGCAGTTCGGCAAGGTACGGAAACTCAAGTGTGTTTGTAGACTCAAGTAGATACTGTACACTGAAACGAGGAGAGGGCAACATCACAAAATGTGGTTTTGATTCAACTTCAAGTGATGACACGGCGACAGTCACCAACATGGATACAGATAGTTTTTATTATCAGCAGGTGTGTGATTTATAAGGTGAATCATTAAAAGATTCCTCCTGAATAAATTGTTAAATGTTATTTCTGTTAAAACACAAGAAGATCTTAAAGCTCCATATTTTCCTCTTCTCCTGTATTCCATTTGAAGGGTTGATCTAAAAAGATATATTTGTGGTTTTAAGAACCAAAAACCATCTCAATGTGGGCCAGGTCCTGATCTTATTAATCTGTGTACCTGGCTGATGACTTCCACGCCAAGACACCAGTGTTGTACAGCTTTCTCAACTACATCCTGCCGTTTCTGGTCTACACTTCCTCTCTCAGGCTTCTCTCTGGAGCTCTATAACAGGTTGGTGAACCAATCAGAAGAGAGGAGGCTCCAAGTCTCTCTTCTGATTGGCTGACTGTGTTCGAGTGATCCAATAAAAATATAGCAGATTTCAGGTAAAAATTCAGGTTTAATGGGGGGTCCAGGTGAGTGGGGCTTGGCTGAGAGCAGTGACCGCAGAGCTGGTTTTAAGGCTCAGTCTCAATCTCTGCATTTCTCTGTGGACTGAGCACTTTGATACTTTCACAGTATTAATATAGAACCTAGACCTGCTTTATAATCAAACAACACATGGACATCTACCTTTATACTATATGGACCTTAAGATTATAGGTTTATTGTGTTAATTCCATGAACAGCATAGAGTTGAATAGTACAGTAAACACCAAGAGGAGTCAGGTGCTTTACACTGTGAACTTGAATATGTGTAAAATAAGACAGTACAAACTCTTCTTTTTTACTGCTCTGTGTGCGTCCTTTGTCGCTGCCTCCATGCTGGAGTTTACCTCTGGGTAAAACTCTACAGTTTAATCTACGTTGTCTGTGAACTGATGATCAGGATGGTGGATATTATCCTTTCTACATGATGACCTTTACTGACTGCACTTGATCACTCAGTGTCAGACTGTAGCTTGAAGTAAAAGGTGTGTAAATCAGGGGACAGGTGACAGTACAGTACAAAAAAGTAATATCAGGTTTACAGGCACCGCACCTCTCAGGTAGCTGTGTGTGTGCTGCTATAATCAGCCAGCCCAGGGACTCTGAGATGAATGGACTGATGACAGATTTTTACAGTGACTGTATCATTTTCTATAAACAAATCTTTTCCATCAGAACCATTTCTATAAAGGAAGCTATAATCGCATTCAAGACCACAAAGAGTTGACTGTAGAGATAAATGTCTGCCCTCAAAGACAAGTAAAATATACATATGTACATACGTATACATACATACACACACACACACACACACACACACACACACACACACACACACACAGTATTTTATATATATATATTTGTAACTGTATGAATGTTCAGAAAGTATTTGTACCTTTTACAATTATGTTAAATCTACTTCATGACCACACTAAAATGTTAAGTTGTTTCTCCACCCTGTGACTTTACCCAGACCACATCTCCCATAACACACAGTAACCAAGTAAGTAATACCAAGAGAATGGTCTTTGTCTCATGACCTCTTTCTGTGTGGAGGTCCTCTAAATAAATGAAGGTTATGTAAAGTTTTGTTTCCTGCACTAACTTTCAGCAAAATATCATCAACATGGCAGTCAACTACATCACTGATGTAAGTCATTTATTTACACATGTAAGAAAACAATAATTCAATTCACATAACACTGTACAGAAGAGATGAAAACATGCTCATAAACCTGAGACCTCTGCATCACTTTTGTCTGAGTCAGGACCTGCACTGCCTTCAAAACTGAGTCATCAAAACTGTCATGACAGATAAAAATTATTCAGAGCACCTGCCACGTGAAGGTGAGGAACCAGATGGTGGCTGGGGGGTACTGGTCTTCCTCTGCAGTTGTTTACAGTCACTTTCTTTGTTATGTGGTGTGATCTGCAGCAGTGTAGACAGTGTATGTCTGTTCTGCTCTGTTGATGTGCTCTGTGTATGTCCTCCTGTGTGTTGGACCAGGGGAGGGGAACCTGCTGGCCATTCTGAAGCAGCGCTGGTGGAAATACATGATTTTGGGTTTGATAGACATTGAGGCCAACTACCTGGTCCTGAAGGCTTACCAGTACACTACACTCTCCAGTGTACAGGTTAGTACTTGTGTGTGTGTGTGTGTGTGAGTGTGTGTGTGTGTGTGTGTGTGTGTGTGTGAGAGACAACTTATGCATTCTATGTGTAGCAGAATCTAATGTATAGAATGCAAACATTAGCATGATAAGATACGAAACTGAGATGGTCAACGTGGTAAGTTTTAATACCTGCTTGCATGCTGGTGTTAGCATGTTAGCTCAAAGCAACCTCTAGTACACTCTTATTCCCCATTCAAACAGACCAGACAGAGTAGTGAACACTCTTTGGATGTGTCTCAAACCAGATCCTTCACTCAGTACACTCAAATGTAGTACACTGACTACACAGTACATTCACTTGTAGTATACTGACTACACAGTACACTCACATGTAGCACACTGACTACACAGTACACTCAGATGTAGTACACTGTGCACACAGTATGCTCACTTTTAGTAGACTGACTACACAGTACAAGCACATATAGTACACTGACTATACTGTTCACTCATATGTAATACACTGTGTACACAGTACATTCACATGTAGTACACTGACTACACAGTACACTCACATGTAGCACACTGTGTCACCTGTCAGCTGATTTACTCAAGTGACTTGAAATTGGACATTTTATTTTCCCATGTGTCTCTTGTGTCATGTGACATGGAAACTAGGTCGTCATCAGCAGTGTCGAACTGTCCTCCTTCCTCATTGGCTGTTTTCACAAGTTTGAGAATATGTTGGTGGTCCCTTCCCTTTTTGCTACATAGTCAAGATGGTGACTATGTCCATTGTTTTACACTGAATTTGTTGACTTCTAGTACTTCAATGCAGACACACTCATCCTCTCAAAACAGTGAGAGTCTGGAAGTAAGTGAATCTAGACACAGAACTTGAGTACAGCTGCATCATTTACACATCAGTTACATGACAGAGGTATTAGTCTATGTAATCTCCTTTAACCAGATGTAATCTCCTTTAACCAGTACAAAACTGCAAAAAAAAAAAACAATAGAAGCATGAAGTTTATCAGACAGACATGCCGGGCCCATGGAGTAGAACCTGGAATGGACCCTGTAATGGACCCTGGAGGGGACCCAGGAGTCCTGTAATACTGCTTAACACAAATCAACACAGTTCATTGAACTGCAGCAGATACAAGTTTGTAGACAGCTCTCCTCCTGGCAGGATATTGTCCCAAACACAAATGAGACAGAATGATAAGAACCTGGGTGTGCTGTGGGTGGAGGCCAGGTGTTTACATGGTCTCAGCCTTTCTCAGAGGGAAGGCCTGGCACAAACCACTCACTCCACGTTGGTGGGAAGCATGCTATGGTGGTGGACCGTCCATGGTTCCATTTTGATGGTGAATGTTGGACCAGTGTGGTAAACCCTCCCAGGACTCATCATGTGTTTGCTCTGTGTGTCTGTGTTCCTTTCAGCTGTTAGACTGCTTTGTCATCCCGGTGGTCCTGCTGCTGTCTTGGTTCTTCCTCCTGGTGAGGTACAAGGCCACCCACTTTGTTGGGGCAGGACTGTGTTTGCTGGGGATCGGCTGCATGGTGGGAGCTGACATCCTACTTGGTCGGCAGCAAGGTCTAGGTGAGTATACACACACACACACACACACACACACACACCTGCAGTCACCTGGATGTTTGTGTTTGATATGTTTGTTTGTTGTGTTTGTTTTGGATGTTGTGGATGTTATGTTTGTTGTGTGTGTTTTTTTTTGTTGTGGATATTGTGTTCTTTGTGGATATTGTGTTTGTTGTGGATGTTGTGGATGTTGTGTTTGTTGTGGATGTTGTGCGTTTGTTGTTGATGTTGTGTGTTTGTTGTGGATCTTGTGGTTTTGTTGTGTGTTTGTCTCCTGCTCATGTTTCCCTCCCCTCCTTTCCTCCTCTCCTTCGTTGGTCCAGGAGAGCAGAAGCTGTTTGGGGATCTCCTGGTTCTGGGAGGTGCGACACTGTACGGGATCTCTAACGTCTGTGAGGAGTTCATTGTGAAGAACCTGAGCCGGGTGGAGTTCCTAGGCATGATGGGACTCTTCGGATCCTTCTTCAGTGGCATCCAGCTGTGAGTCTGTGTGGGGCTAGAGACAGAGGCAGTGCAACACATTGTCCCTAAACTAATATAACACAAACAATTATAACCTTTTATATCTTTCTTGAACACAACCACTAAACATTCACGGGGCTGGTGGAAAAAGTAAGTGAACCCTTGGATTAAATTAAATTAAATTTAAACAGGTTGAACCTCATTTGGCACCAATGACCTCAAATAATAGCTTCCCGTAGCTGCTAATCAGACCTGCTCAATGTTCAGCAGGAAGTTTGGACTGTTCTTCTTTAAAGAACTGCTTCAGCTCACACATATTCTTAAGATATCTGGTTTGCACGTTTCTCTTTAGGGCTGTCCACAGCATCTCTACTGGATTCAGGTCTGGGCCCTGACTGGACCACTCCAGAAGGTGGATTTTCTTTGTCTAAAGTCATTCTGTAGTAGATTTACTTTGATGTTTAGGGTCATTGTTCTGCTGCCTCACACAGCTTCCTTTGAGCTTCAGAAGGTGGACAGACATCCTGACATTATCCTAAAGGATTCCTTTATAAACTTGCAAATTCATTTTCCCTCAATGGTGTGGAGCTGTCCAGGTCCAGAGGCAGCAAATCAGTCCAAAATCATGAAGCTCCATCCACCCTGCTTCACCTCTGAGATGATGATGTTAGGATTATGCAGTGCCCTTTACGCCACACATAGAGCTGCAGGTTTTTCCCAAACGAATTCAACCTTAGTTTCATCAGTCCATAAAAGATTTTCCCAGTAGCATTGTGGAGTGTAAAGGTGCTTTTTATAAACTTCAGGGGTGCAACAATGTTTTTATGGAGAGCAACAGCTTCCTCCGTGGTTTCTATGGCAGGACACCATGCTCCATGCGCCATGTTGTGCACATCTCATAAACAGAAATGTGAACCAGGTCCAATGATTCCTTTAAGTCTTCAGCTGTTACTCTGAGCTACTTTGTTAACATTACTGATCATCTGTGTTGAGCTGTTGGAGTCATCTCAGCTGACTGTCCACTTCAAGGTAGAGTAGCCACAGAACTGAACCATCTCCATCTTCAGTTTTTGACTGATGATCTAAACACTTTGAGGTGACTCTGTGACCCTTTCAGCTTCATTCAAATCAACAATCCTTGATCAAAAGTTTTCTGAGAGCTCTTTTTTATGAGGCCTGGTTCACATCACCAGATGCTTCTTGTGAACAGCAAATTCTAAATATTTTAGTGTTTTTTGTAAGTGTCTCTAACCCACACCACCTATCTGGTTTCATTGACTGGACTCCAGGTTTGATAACTCCTGACACCAGTTAGCTTCTGTTGGTGTCATTAGCCGAAGGGTTCACAACTTTTTCCAACCTATACTCTGATAGTTTGAATATTTTCAATATGCACAAGAACAAAACAATGATTTGTGTGTAATTAGTTAAAAAAGATGTGTTTGTTCGTCATAATTGTAACTTGGATGAAGATCTGACCATTTTTATTTTTAGGACAAATTTATACATAAATGGAGGTAATTCCATTCAAAGGGTTCACTTACTTTTTCTTGCCACTGTATAAATTGACCAATTGACCACATTGAACACCTACAACACTGCACTACTGCATTCATTATATACCACATACAGTATAAATATATCATACAATAATAATAACACTCACATTCTGTCTAATCTGTATTTTTACTAAATATATTTTTGTGCATTTTTAAATGCAGGGCTATCTCATTATTTGTAATAATGTAGAGTAGGTGTCAGATAATAGAAGGAAATGCAGTTAGCTCATTGAATAACTGAGGTTAACTGGCCTGAAGCACTGTAACAGAAACATGGTGTGAAGTGCTCACTCTCAGTTGAGCTCTTAGGACTTGTTGTTACAATCCCTGAGAATGATCGGTGTCTTGTATCTTGAGGGGGGGAGGGGTAATCACTTCATCTGGGTCATCAGGTGGGCACCCTCTTTCATTGGTGTTTTGTTGATAGGAAGGGAAGGGATAGGCACACGACACCTCCAGAGGGCTCAACGGCACTCCTGGTGTCCCAGGTATGCCCCCCTCCGTTTTTACCCCTCATGTTGGACCTCTTGCAACCCAGCTGGAGTCTTTCCTCTTCCTTCAAAGCCAGTTGCTGCTTCGCTCAGCAGTCTCTAATAGTGACGTAATGGCTTGTCGGAAAGAGCACCTGGGTATGCCAGCCACATTGTTCTGCCTTGGCTGCTATGTCTGTGTACTTCTGGCTTTTGTGTTCATAAGCTTCCCCGACTGCAGCCTCCCATGGTACTGTTAGTTCCACGATGTACAGGGACTTCTGCAAGGTTGACCACAAGATCAGGTCCGGCCTGAGATTAGTTCTGTTGATATCTAGTGGAAAGATGAGTTTCTGATCTAGATCAACCTGCATTTTCCAGTCTCAGGCAGTGTTCAAGAGGGTTGCTTCCACTCTTGCAGATGGTTTCACTGGAAGCTGTCCTGCTCTCACAAAAGGGGTGGTGCTTGGAAGTCCAGGCATAGGGGAGGGAGGCCATTGGTGGTAATTAAGTATCAGAGGATAAGTGTAGTTGATAATAACACAATACTTTACCTCAAGTAACACAAACAACACAAGGAAAATGGACACGGTCAGATCTGGACTGAAGCAGTACTTCACTGGCAACTAACAACAGTGACACACGGCAGACATAATGACTGAACTGAGTGTTGATGTCATGAATAAGGAGACTGTTGTCAGAGGGATTCCACAGTAAAAACTCAGTTCTGTACAAACCAGTAAAAACAATTTGAGCCAGTGTCCTGCCAACATGATACATGGTATGCAGGACATTATACTGTGATGCTCGTCTCTCTGAGTCTGGCACTCTGTGACTCTGTGACTCTGTGACTTTATACCGTCTATAACCCAGCTATCCAGCCAGCTCAACACTTGACCCAGTAAACACCACTTCACTGAAGCACTCAAATGTGAACCTTTACAATTCAGCATGAAGAAAAACTAAGTTAGACTGAGTTACACAGTGAACATGCACTGTAAACCCGAATAAGTAAGCAAAACTCAAAAAAATTGAGGCAATCAGTTGCCACAATTTTTTTGAGTTCATAAACTCAAAAGTTTGAGTAAATCAGAGCTTAAATATTTGGAGTTTATGTTACATGTACTTTTTGAGTATGGTTAAATTAAATAACCGATTACGCCAACTGAAATATTTTCAGTACATGCTACTCAGAATATTCATTCATCTTTCTCATTGAATTAACTTAACAGAACTTAATAATTTTAAGTATGAAAACTCAGTATTTCATGTTCAATAAACTTAACATTTATTAGTTTCTTCCTTCAATCTTTTGATTAACCATAACTCAAAAACATTGACTTAATTAAACTCAAAATCATTTACGTCCAAACTTAAAATATTTGTGGCAACTGATTGCCTTAAATACATCGAGTACTCTTAACTTAAAAAAAAAAAAAACACATTAAATTAAAAGTACAAGTCATATTTTTTTTTCTATTCAAATGTTGAGTAGAACATTTTTTATTGCCCACTGTCTTTTAGCACAATCTGAAACAAATATTTGACAGAAATAAAAAAATAAAATAAAATATACATTAACATTTGCAATGGGCCATCTGGTTGTAAACCTGTAGTGCATTAACTTAAACATAAATTGCTATTAACTCTAATCTAAAAGTGCAAAAATATCAAATTTGTACTTTATTATGTACAAAAGCAGTGTGAAGCCTACTTCTGGCCATCAGGTTCAAACTTTAAGGTGCACTATGTAGTAGTGGAAAATATTCAGACAAAGTTTCCATTATCTTAATATGATAATTTTCCCTTTCTAATATTTATTTGATATATTTCCATGATTGAATAAACAAAGCCATCCTTCAGTGGGAAAAAGTCCCCTGAACACTGAAGTTGGAGAGGTGGCTACTTAAAATGGTCCTTTGAGGACAGTTTGTTTATTCAGTCACAAAAATGTATCAATGAAGAATTTTCTCTTCTGGGTAAAATTTCTTCCCAAACCTTAAAATAGTTCACCTATAAAAACTATATGTCATAAATAGCTTATAAACTGTTCATACAACATCATTTTAACAATATTATTACATTAACAAGTACAAAGGCAGTGTGTACTTTGCGCCACTTGACTGAAAAACCATTTGAGTAGAGCAGAAACTTGAACAACAGTTGAACAGGACAATGACATATTCTTGTTGTGGAACATGCTCTGACCGAGTGAGCCACCAGAATCAACCACTTTACAGATTTTGAGTTACACGTATATCCTCAGGTCATTTTTGAGAGTCTGTAGCCTGGGTGATAGTTTACAGTCATCCAGACCAAGTAAAGTTTTCTGTGTGAATTCAAAAGTGTTGATCAGTCC